AACACATAGTCTATTTTGAATTTCCTGACCAGTTATTACTACTGAAAGTGTCCCAAACTCTTACAGAACAAGAAACAAAGAATGGAAAACTAAAATTTAAAACTTGAAAGTTGGAAAAATACTTTAAGATCTTTATAAGAACAGTGTGGAAATGGATGCTTAATAACAAAGGAGTAGAAGAGAGAAACAATTTCTGTCCAGCTTTAATTCATGGAGCAATAACTTGTATCACTTTGCATAATGAATGAACTGGATTATAATAACATTGCAGAATATGATACTTTACTAAAAATCTAAATCTGTACAGAAATTGTATCAGTGTTTTTTTAGTTGCCTTTTCACAAGCACTCTTGATTTTTAAAAATTAATTCAGCATTTATTAGATACCGACCATATCTGATACTGTTTAATATGTGCATAAGTGTATTATGAACTAAATATCAATAATTGCCATAAAAAAATCAACCAAGGGCTATGGAGGCTCAGAGAAGAAACTATTCCAGCAAGAGGAATGAGGGAAAGCCTCCTACGGAAGGTGGAATTTGAGCCATCCCTTAAAGAGTCCATAGAATTTACCTATTTTTTTGGATTGGGAGAATCAGCATTCCAATGGAGGAAAACATTGCATTATTGAGATGAAATGACCCTAGTTAAGTTTGGATGCATAAGGCAACCAAAGTAGAACAGTGGAACATTTGGCTAGATGGGTAGGTTGTGACAATATGACAAGAAGTGTAGGTGGCTAGGAGGGCGGGGGAAGACTTTCTTAGCTTTGAACTGCAGGCTAAGGAATTTAGCCCTTGGTAATGAGCTTTGGAAAGGAAAAGAGTGGAAGGTTTTTAGCAAGGGGAAGGGAGAAAAGGGGGAAGAGGGTTGACATTGTTCAGGAGCAAATCTGGCAGTGACTGAGATAGAAGTCGTGACTAAGAGAGAGGCTATTTGAGGGAAGAATGTCCCAGAAGACAAAATAGTAACAGGCCTGAAGTGAAAAGGATGAAAGTAGTGACAATCATGGAACATGTAATGCAGGATGGAGTTGATGAATGAGGGGAGATGGGAGATGGGCAGATTTAGCGATGAGAAGGGTGGGAGTAGGGGACACCTGGGTGGCTCAGTGGTTGAGCATTTGCCTTCAGCTCAGGGCATGATCCCGGGGTCCTGGGATCAAGTCCCACATTGGGCTCACTGCAGGGAGCCTACTCCTCACTCTGCCTATGTCTCTGCCTCTGTGTGTGTCTCTCATGAATAAATAAATAACATCTTAAAAAAAAAAAAGGTTGGGAGCGGGAGTGCAGGATTTAAATGTAATCATCATGGTTCCTTTCAGTATTTAAAAAAATAAGATGAGAGGTTTGGGCATCTGTGGTGAGAGTAGATGAGCATGGAAGGGCCCACCTTAGCACTGAGACTGGCTTGTGGGGATAGGGAGGACAGAACAATGTTACCACCTGTGAGCCTAGGGAGAGGCCAACTTGACAGAGGTTACTAGGGGTGAAGGGAAGGTGTGGCACAAGAGAAGAACTTAAGAATTTAAAAAGAATGTATTTTGGGGGCAAGAGATAAAACATCTCAAGTGAAACATCCTGGATCTGTGGAGGCTGAGAAAAATCAAGGCCATTCCACCTCAAGTTTAGCATTAGCACAAGTATAGCCATCTTAGGCCCCTGTGAATAAGAGCTGAACTTTATAGGAAAAACTGCAGAATGAATCCCGTATCAGAAAGACAACAGAGCCCACACCCGTGGTAGAAAGTCCCATATTAGAATGAGAACAGAGCTCAATGCCCTTGAAAGCCCCATATCAGAATGTAAACAGAACTTGAGAAATTCCTCCACCTCTTCTGAAAATCCCCTAGACCAGCCTATAAAAAACCGAGCTGTAACCCACTTCGGGGTCCAAGTCCCTGCTCCACTGTGTCGGGTATACTTGGACCCAAGCTCCAGCTTGCTAATAAACCCTCATGCTCTTGCATCGGTGTCGGCTCCTTGGTGGTTTCTCAGATTCACAATCTTGGGCACAACAGATCAGATGGACCAGGGTCTTATAAACCAAAAGTCCTCACTTATCTCTGTGAACTTGGTGGACTGACTCTGAATCTCAGATTCCTTGTCTGCAAATGACATGACCCACTTTATTTTTTTTAATATTTATTTATTTATGAGAATGAGCAAGCAAGACACAGAGAGAGAGAGCTGGGGGAGAAGGAGAGAGAGAATCTCTAGCAGGCTCCGTGGGGCTCCATCTCACGACCCTGAGATCATAACTTGAGCCAAAATCAAGAGTCTGGACACTTAACTGACTGAGCCACCCAGAAGCCTCACGATACATAATGAGATGAATGAGATTGTATGGACCCTCACCTCCATCCACCCCTACATGATGCATATAAAATGTTTTAATAGTTTTGCCTTTTAATTTGCAGAGCATTTTCTTCATCATTTGAGAGGGTTGGCAGACATCCAGATGAAAGATGATGAGATTCTAATCTTAAGCAGCTAAAGAGCTAGCCTTGTAGCTACAGATGGTAAGAGGGTGTAGTTTCCCGGGTTTTATTGAACAATAGGTGGATGACTTCCCTGTACTGGTTAAATGGGCCTAAAAAGTTGAACAAGTTCAGCTATTTTTATTAATGTAGACTTTAATCAAACAAAACCACTTGTGAGATGAAGGAAGTTCTTTGCAAAGTTGTACTAAAAAACAATCAATTGTTCCAGATTTAGTTAGGTTAAACTCCCAACTAAAAATAAATTAAATCTAGTTATAATAGCAACAACAATAATTAAAGCAATACTTGCTATTAGAGATTTCAGAGCCCTAATCCTTATATTAACACAATTTCACTGCAGGAAGATAAAATCAAAATGCTCTGTGAATTATAATGGGGTCTTACCAATTATTAATATTCAAGTCCCTAAAAGCAAGTGGAAACACAAGTCCAGACACAAGTGGATATACTTTTAATAAATGGAAAATGAGTGCTCAATATTATATCTTTTGTGTGGGAGAAAGCATTCTCCACACAATGACTTCTACTTAGCTCTATACAATATATTGAGATAAAGTGTAATATATATCTGACTCAAAGAAAACGTTATATGATAATATTTTATAAGATGAATCGACTAGCCAAATGGCACAGAAGCTTTCATCTGTTAGTAAAACAAAGGCACTATGTATTTTTTCCCCACAATATAGATTTGAGTCATTTAAATTGAAGAAATTGATCTTATGGGATGGTAGGTATGCCTTCAGAGCCACTTTTTTTTTTTTTTTAAGTAGGCTCCAAGCCCAGTGTAGAACCCAATGTGGGGCTTGAATTCACAACCCTGACATCAAGACCTGAGCTGAGGTCAAGAACTGGACGCTTAACCAACTGAGCCATCCAGGCATCTGAAGGGCCATCTTCGAGACTCACATATACTTGGCACTTGGCAATGCAAGGAGAAAATATTCCTCATGCCAATCAAATCAAAGCATGGGCAACATTTAGCTTAATTTTTGCAGATGTTTATAGATAAATGTTTTTCTCATGTGTCACTACCAGGCGTTGGGAAGCCATGCATAGGAGCCAAATCCTGTCTGTGCCTGCTGTTTCTATAAATCAAGTTTTATTGGAACACAAACATGCCATTTGTTTATTATTGTCTATGGCTGCTTTTCTCCTACAAAGGCTGAGATGAGTACTTGTAACAGGCCATTATGGCTTAAAATATCTACTATCTGGCACTTCATAAAAAATGTTGGAAGGAGTCTGGTGAGAAGCATCCAGTGCCACAGACAAGTGAGGGGCAAGGTATAGTCTGACAAGAGGCATCTTCCCAGGGACCTGGTGTGGTGCCCAGATACCAGCTAGTGCCTAAGCCATTTACTTGTCCAGTGAATCCTGGGATCTGCTTTGTCTAAAGGGGGAAAAAAATGGACTCCTTAAAAAGCAGCTTAACTATGTTCAAAGTTGACAAAGTTTGTGAGTAACCTTTTCATCCAGATTTGCCCAGAACTAGATATGTCCTTCCCATATTTTATTACCTATATTTGATATGAATTGAATAATCACAATAAGTTATAGAATATTAGGCTTTTTTTAGCACAGCCTAATTGCTCTTGCTATTACATGGATCATTACAACTCTCAGTTTGTAACACTAGCCTGGACGCCTTTATGATGAATCAGTGGAGAAACCAGATGATTAGACCAATTTTTCATTTCAGCTACCCTTTCTCCTGTATCTTCTGTGTGCCAAGCAGGCCAACAGGCACAGGGAGCCATAGTGAGCTCTTTGATTTCATCTGTCAGACAACCCCTTCTCCTTTCTATATCCTCTGCTCTGCAATAAGCAGGACTGGCCAGCAAGAGACGGCCCAGCCCAGAATTTCCCTGCATGATTTTCAGACACAAATTATGAAGTCACCATCATGCAGAGAAAGGTATCTGCAAGGTTATGTGTGTAGGGTTCAGTGATGAGTTCTGATGTCAAGGTCACTGATCCTCTCTTCAAAGGGGTCTTAGAGGCAAGAAACAGCAACAAGCAACTCAAGTGAAATAAGACACTTGGGTTTGTGTTTGACTCTCAAAATTATGTTTAATGAAGAAATCAATGACACACACCAGGGGAGTGAGCTCTGACCATTAGATGTTTTTCTTCATGTTATTGCTTTTTGTTCTTAGATATAAAAATAAACACAAAGTGCAAATCCTTGGGAATAAGACCCACTCCTGCTACCTCCCTCCTGCAAATAGATTAGTGATAAATGAGCAGCGGAGTAAGGATTGTATTAGCGGAGAAAAGAGGATTCCAGGAGAAATGAGACCAGAGTTTCCTTTTGCGTCTGTCAGTATTTTCTAAACCCTGTAAATCAGGCTCCTGCACAGACGGTGCACACAGTTTGTATTTTCATGCTCTGTGAATTAATTTCACAATCAGTATCATATATTTTAGTAACTTTCTGTAGAAGTTAGGACATTTAACATTTCATACACCCCAGAATATTAAAGTATTGTGATTCTTTTAACTTAGTCCAGACATAAAAAGCCAGACTATATTTTATTTAGGTGCTGACAGAACTATCTGTTTAAAATGGCAATTTCAAGTAATTTAACAATCATAGAAATGACCACGAATACCAACTTCATCTCTTCATGTACCTCTTTGCAAATGTAAGACAAAGCAGAGTTTTATAACCTTTTAATAACTTGTGTAACAACTGTTTTTGGCGTCTCTCAAAGGTGGAATTCTTTTAAATTATAAAGGATTTTGTATGCTTGAAATCCTAGGAAAAGGGAAAAAAACAAGTTTAATGTATTAATTCATATTTAAAGAAATCTATAAATCTCATCAATATAAAGCTACATGCACTATGAGAATCTTATAGGTACAAACCAGCATCTAGTTAACTAAATCTATCTTATGGTGAATTAAATAAATAGTAGGAGACAAGGTCTTTGAAACTGCCTTGAGTAAAGAAGTAGGAGTGGGAAAAAAAAAAAGAAGTAGGAGTGGGAGTTAGAGCAGGAGAAATCTTAGCTGCTTGGGGTATGCTCCTGGCATCCAGTGGGTGGGGGTTGGGGTGCTGCTAAGCATCCTACCATGCACAGTACAGTTCTTCCAACAAGGAGAATATGCAAAATTATAAGAATTCATTATATAAGAATTTATATAAGAAATTACAATATAAGGCTAATAAGAAGTTGTCAATAATGCCAAGACTGAGAAATCCTGCTCTAGGGCAAAACCAGAATTGGGCAAAACCATCCTTTCAGTGGATGAGGGCAACTGAGAGGAAGACAAGGAAAAAATAAAAGGTTTTTGCTCTTTTGACTCAGCCACAAAGTGTTTCTTATTCTTTGCTAGGATGAGATTACTTTATTCCATGTTTAAGGAGTATTTTCTATAAATTGTTGGAACAAATATGGAGTTACATATTGCTTGTCTGCAATGAAAAAGTAATATGATTGTGGCATAGTAAACTATAAAATAAAGTGACTTCTGTGAGATTCTGGAATAGACAATTTTAGGAAATCAAATTTTGACAAAAACATCTATGGAACAATAAGTAGGTCATAAAGATAGTGTCCACTAGAATCACTCAAGTGTTTAAATATCTGTGTCCACTGCCTACCCCAAGCTCTACAAGTAGGACATCTAAGAGAATCCCTGCCACTGAGCACCACAGAATTCAGAGAACCAGTGCTTCATTTTTCAAGAAAGGGCTTAGAGCTCTAAAAACATTGAAAACCTTCCTCCCTTACCTCCTATATTCCTGAAAAATAATCCAGAAAGTTAAATATACATCCAAAGAGCTACAAAATCTGAGCAATGATACTATTTACTGCTTCACTGTAGTGTTCACAAATGCAAAAGCACACAAGGTTCCAAATGATGTTGCTTAAACCATCTGAATTAGATAATTATTGTATCTCTCCAGGGATTTCTGAAATATTCCTTTCAGCGATAGTAGAGGATATTCCATATGCCTAAATTTTTCAAGTTCTCTGAATAACTAAGGGAGAGTCCTGGTATCACAGACCTGGTGGAGGCCATCTGTTTGGTGAGCTGACAAGAATCTAGGTACCTGAATTCAGCCCCACCACTGTGATCTTGTGAGAACTTGTGTCTTAATTTTCTCATCTGTGAAATGGGGCTGATAGTACCAGACCTAATGATGCAATGCAAAGGAGGCTAATCATAGCAAACACCATGAGAGAAAAGAATGGTATGGCAAAGCCCCATTGCTCTACAAATGGCAGTCAACTTTCTCATACCATCCCAGACAGAGGGTGGAAGCTAACATTCACTCAGCAACTTCTAAAGACCAGAAGTAGACACAAGCACAAAGTATAGTAAAAGTGAAAATCCATCACTTCCGTACAGTTCCTTCATCTTCCTGCCCTATTTCCTAAAGACACTGGATCTATAAGTATGCTTTAAAAATACTCACATTTTCACTCATTGTGGTGGCTTTAGATGAAGAACTACTCTTCCTGTTTGTGGAATATAAAAGACAATGTTAAAAAAAAATGCCAGCAATTGTAACTGAGTTTCTTATATTTATAGACAATATTCACAGAGAAAGCCAGGTAACAAGTACCAACCTATGAAGACCCAGGTATCTTATTATAGCCTAGGGCTAAAGATTTCTCTGTAATATGCAAACACAGACTTATACACTTTTAACTTAGCAGCTTTTTAACATTTAGCATTTTGAAAACTTGGACATTATAATCAAAATTCTTTTTTTTTTTGCATGGAAAGAAAGTTTTACATTGTAACTAGGGTGCTAGTCATCTGCTATAAGCTGAACTGTGTCTTATTCAAAACTTTATGCTAAAGTTCCAACCACTAATACCAAAAGGTACCATATCTGGAGACAGGGTTCTTTAAAAAGATAATTAAATTAAAATGAGGTCATTAGGGTGGACCCTAATCCAATATGACTGGTGGCCTGGTAGGAAGAGTAAATGTGGAGACAAATACAGGCAGAGGGAAGACGATATGAACAGAGAGAAGACCATGTACAAGCCAAGGAGAGAGAGAGACCTGAAACAGATTCTTCCCTTACAGCCCTCAGAAGGAACCAACCCTGCTGTCACCTTGATCTGGATTTCTAGCCTCCAGAACTATAAGAAAATAAGTTTCTGTACGGCAGTTCTAGCAAAATAATATAACATCCAATTCATCCAATAATCAACAAATTTTATGGGCCATGGATTTGACAAATGGCAGGAGACGTGCTTAGGAGTAAAGATACTACCTCCCAGATTCCTACTTGGGTTATTAAGAGACCCTATGGTTGAAGAGAAGAATAACTTCCCTCGAGGGAGCAATGCCAACCTTTCTTCTTACATAAGATGATGCTTTCTTCTGCTTAAAACCCCCCAGTTACTTTCCATCTTACTCAATAAAAGTGGAAGTCCTCACAATTGCCCAGAGTGGGGATGCAGGGTGGCTATACCATCAGGTAACTCTGTTTTCTGAATTCTCCTCCTTTGCTACTGCTAATCCTGATAACTTGGAGCTCATCTTGGACTTGTAGTGGGATATGATTAGATTGAGTGACCAGGTTTGAACAGGAAGTCTGGGAATGGGAAATTAGTGGCAGCTAAGTCTTCAAAAAGACTTAGAATACCAGGAAGCATCTGAAGCCACAGCAGCTGAGAATAGAGGGGAATGCCCATAGATCTGGGTTGGCTCTGCCATTTCCATGTACAAAGAAAGGACAGTCACAAATCAAGTGCACGCCAACTTGGTGATCTCATCATACAGCAGTGATTCCTAAATCTCTAATCCTAGTTGAGATATTTTTCCGAACTCCAGGTTTATATATTCTGTTACTAATTATCTCTACTTGGAAGTCTAATCAGCATCTGAAATATTAAAATTCCAAAATATTCCAGACCTTTCCACCTAATGCCCCCAAACCTGCTTCTCCTAGTCTTGCATATTTCAGTAAATGATAACAACATTCCTCTCATAGTCTTGAAGCTACCTTTTTCTCTTTTTCTCCCATATCTCCACATCCAACCAATCAGTAAATTATTCAAAATGTATCCAGAATCTTATCACTTCTCCACATCTCCAACACCTTTGCTTTGGAACCAGCCACCATTTTCCCTTGGCTGGATAATTATTGAGCCATTTCCCAACTGGTCTCCCTGCTTCCTCCACTTTTTGCTACCTTATAGTTTATTCTTTTTTTTTCTTATAGTTTATTCTTAACAGAGCAGTGAATGTGAGCTTCTAAGAACTAAATAACAGGATACTACTCCCTGACTCAGAGCCTTCCGATGACTTCCCATCTTACTTAGAATCAAAGTCAAACCTTCACAGCTTAGGAGAGGTTCCATGTCATCTGACCCCCACTACTTTTGTGCACTCATCCCTTCTTTCCATCATCCTCACTCTGTTTTAGCCACACTGATCTCAATATGTCCCACATACTCCAGGCCTGCCTGGCCTCCAGATCTTTCCATCTATTCCTTCTCCTCTGTTTGAATGTTCTTCGCAAGGGTATCTGCATGGCTTGCTCTTTCTGCTCCTTCACATCCTTCTCAAATATCACTTCATCAGTGAAGCTCTCCCTAACCATCCTAAAGGACAATCTCCACTCCTACCCTATGCATTCTCTATTCCCTTCTCTGCTTTAGTTTTCTCCATAATATTTATCACAGTCTGACATACTGTAGAGTTTACATATGGTTTACTTTCTGCCTTTCTCTACGTAAACTACATGAGGCAGAGGGTTGTTGGGGCCTGTTTTGTTCACTGCTGTTTTGCCACTCCCTAGGACAGTGTTGGGCACAGAAGAAGTATTCAAGTAAATGTGAAAATAGCTGCTAAGTAAAATTTTATTTGAAAATTTTTAATTTAGCAAAATGCAGCATTTTTTAAAGGTAGTATGTTGAAAATGCCTACAGAGTCAAAAGAATGACTATATGTCTTCTCTAGGTAATTAAACAACATTGACAGGTAGGCACGAAGCATGAAGTGAGGTGTATTTCTTGATGAATCCCAGTAACTTCCCATAGGATAAAACTCTCACAAATAACTCAACTTTCCACATTTGACTTTAGACAGATGATTAACAGAAGATTAGCTGATGTGGGGGGAAAGGCATGCATTTAAGAAAGTATACTTACTGGAACGAAGTCTCTTCTACAAAAGAATAAGTACAAGAGTTAATACTGTATGATACACATTCATTTAAAAGTGAGTTTAGGCTTAATTTCTTTTTCTCAATATTGATTCTCTCTTGGTGACATTTGTACTTTCTAAATCAAGGGTTGACAAACTTTCTCTGTAATGGGCCACAAGACAAATACCTAGGCTTTGTGGGTCAAGATGTAGAATTGAGGATATTAAGTAGGTAGTTATATAATAAGAGAGGCCAAGTTTCCAAAAATGTATATTTTTAAAATTTAAAATATAATAATAATCAAAGTCTTTGGTATAGGTCTATTAATTGGAAGAATAGAGTTCTTTGTTGGAAGGCACAGATAACATTTCTCTTACTTGGGATTGGTTAGTGTTCCTTCCTTATTATAAAAACAGATAGTAACTGTTCATTTGAAAAAAAAAACATTCTTAGCTTGTGGGCCACAGAAAAACAGGTGGCAGCTGGATTTGGTCCACCGGTCACAGATTGCCAACTCCTGTCTGAAATCAAGGTCAAGAAAATGATCCCCTTGGACAGATTTTCTGCCAGCTGAGAATGGGAGTAGTATTCTTCACTAATGAATTCCTAATACCCAAGTCAAATCTTTCATTAACTCACTATTTTAAGAAAAATGTCACCAAGTCTCCAATAAAAATACTCAGACAGAAACCCTTTGGAAGTAGAGTTAAAAGAACAGGAATTTTACATGAATAATTTTATCTGTCTGTACCTTCACTGGTGACCAGCAGGGGGACTCAGCTGGATTCCATTCATAAAATTATATTTACACTAGACTAAGACTGGAGCATCAAGGAAAGAGTTATTAATTCACAGAGCAGCTATTCTTAATTATAGGGAGTATTCTTGAAACAATGCTCATGGAAATATTTTATGACATTTAATATCTATTTATAGGTTAAGTTTTATGTTAGTATGTTTTTTAAACCTAAGTTCTAAAATTAATGTTCACTATAAAACAGTGAGTCTAAAACTTGTTTATGCTATAAATTTATTTATTATTCTGTTTAAAAAATTCTGTTTCATACACTATTCCCAATGCACTTGATGGAGTTCTACAGCTTTTGAGCTCTCAGATAATTTTAAAGACTGGGAGTAAAGAAATACATCAAGAGAACAAAATGTTATTTTTTAATCTCACTCATATCAAACCTATTTTATCATCAAATAGGGGTTTTGAGTTAGTAGAGGTCTCAACTTTGTTCAGAAGCAACTGTAACACTATAGTTTTTATTCAACAATGCTATATATACAGTGGTGCTAAATTTGACGTTCAACATTCCACTGTTCTACACTGATAAACTATTTCACTGATTTATTTCAATGAAACTTCTAGGGATAAAACTGGAAATCAATTTACATCTTGAAATATATCATTCCTAACTTAAAATACAGGGCTTTTAAATACATGTCAACATATTATAAGCATCCATGTATGTTAAATATCTCCCAGCACTGCTGCATTACACTACTCCAGTGTGCATCTCACAGATACTGTGGTATTTCCTGAATGTTGTGATGAGGAAGCTCTGCCTTTTCTCCCTATGTGTGCTTTACATAGGTGCTTTACAACTCACCCACATGTCATCTTGGACATTTTTTACTGCAGAAAAATTAAGGAAAAAAATATTCTCTACAGTTTGCTGGAACTCAGCAGGAGAAAGAAGGTCTCATAAAACTCTAGACTCATAGGAAGTTGTCTAGCAAAGAAGGATGAAATTCACTTACTGGAAAAGTAGCCCTTCCTCTGAGCGTAGCACACGCCAAGGCCACAAACAGAAATCACTAAGGCCACAACTACTACAGCTGCTATGATGCCACTGATGTTGAGATCATCTGGAATGCAAAATAAGCCATGCGTGAAGTTGGGTCAAAAGATATACAGATGTAGTTATGAAACTGGAAAAATTCAAATAAGCTTCCCCTTTGCAGCTATACCATACACATGGATAGTTTCATGCTGCTGAAGCCAGTTAAATTGATTCAGTTCCCCGACAAGGTTCAAAATGGATCGAATATATTAACAGAATTAAGTTTTGCAAGAATCTTACATTTAAGGAAGGTCTGTGATTCAGAAACAACATGAATGGTATTCTCTTACATTCGTTTGGAGAGAGAATACCTCAAAGGATTAAATATCAAATTGGAAGTCATCTTCAAAATTCAGTGAGCTCAAGAATTCTGCTACCACAAGACCCCCAAATTCTACTTAAAATTATTACATCATCATCTGTGTCAATTTTACCAATAATGGAAAACTCATTAAGCTCTAAAGAAAGCTGTGTGACTGTTGTTCTATTAAACTAAGAGTCAGAAACACCTTTCTTGAATTTAATTGGGCTTGTGTGTGTGTGTGTACATTTATACACATACACACATGCCATTAAATTGTCATCCCATTAAATTTAAAATGAATTAAACTTCCTAAGACTTTTTCCTGTTGCCATTAATTAAGTCATCTTTCTTCTAACCTAATACAACTGGAGTTTTTTGGACCCAAGTTTGAAATCACTACCATGTTACCAACCTGTAAGATTTCTTCAGATACTGATTCTGTTGTCCAAGAATCAGATTATTAACTTTCCAAGATTAATATATATGTAATTGGGAACTGCATCAAAAATATACTCAGTCAAGTCATTAATAAAATGATGACTATGACTTTGTTAGGGAAAGAACTACAGACAGGCTATTACACATCTCCCCTCATATAATGAAATTTTTTACACCCATACATCACATGGGGCTGTGTTACATCTTCTCGTGGACAGGCACAGAACTATCCGTGACTGGAGGAAAAAGTGTGTAGTATATACAATGTGTAGGGCATATAATATGGAACACTTTTTTAAAATACTAAGAGCTTATATTTGTGATTTGTTTGCATCAAGAACTCTGAAATGATCCACAAGGAAGTAAGAATAGCAAATATTTGCAGATTTGGTGGAAGGAATGGAGAGGGGGTGAGCTCTTCACAGTAAATTTTTTATATTTTCATTTTGGGAAAAAAAACTATGTGTGAATCCATCTAAATATTTAATCTGAGATACATGTCTCCAGCTTGTCCATAAGGATTTCATGAGCCACATACCTCTGTCATTTGGATACTTCCTATGTATTGATTAATATATAAGTTACCTGTACTTTTTAAAAGAACAATTCCTCAAAGAGTTCTAGTTTTTAAAAGCAAGTATTAGCGGGACACCTGGGTGACTCAATGGTTGAGCGTCTGCCTTCAGCTTGGGGTGTGATCCTGAGGTCCTGGTCTTGAGTCCCACATAGGGCTCCTTGTGCCTATTCTCTGCCTCTCATGAATAAATAAATAAAATCTTAAAAAAAATAAAATAAAAGCAAGTATTACTTAACATGGGATTGAATAACTTGGAGAAAATATTAGGTAGCATTTTATCAACAGTAATTTTATATATTTAATAAAAGCACTGCACATTTTGGGAAAGATTTTTTTTTAGAAATGTTTAAGTGAGTATGCTTATCACAAAACTTTTTGGTCTCAAAATCTGTTTCTAATGGCAAGGGTTATTAATTTTCTCATATATCTGAAATATTAACTGATTTTTTTAAAGAAAGAAAACTGAATACATCTTTTAGAAGGCTGAGCAATTTGACCAGAGTAGAAAACATTAGCTATTGCTTCATATAAACTCAGTTCATTTTTAGGGACACCTGGCTGGCTCCATCAGTAGAGCATGTGACTCTTGATCTCAACATTGTAAGTTTGGGCCCCCACATTGGATATAGAGATTACTTAAAAGTAAAATCTTAAAAACAAACAAACAAAAACCTCAGTTCATTTTTGCTTGAGCATTGAACATTGAGAGGTCAATGAGATCCAGCTTTTTATTTACTTACAAAAAATAGCAGAGGGGAAAAATTCCACAATATTCATAATCTAAGGCAAAATGAAATTAATAGGGAAAAATCTAAAATAATCATTATATAAGGCAAAGTAATAACTACATGAAACTCCTTAAAACCAAACTGTAGCTACTATTTTCTTTGTAGTAGTCAACAAATGTGACATTTATGAAGGATTCAACGAAAGGGCAGATTCTAACAAAAAAAAACTGTCTTATTCTGTAAGTTATGGTATAAATTTTATTCTGCTTTTTCAGTGAAATGGAAGAAGTCCTGTAAGTTAGAGATGAGTTGATTTCATGCCATTTGCCATTGACTGTGAGTTATTGAAGCAACTTCTATAACCGCCTAATGCCTCACTAAAGAGAAAATGTAACAACACATATAAGAATATTTTCTTTTTTTCTTAAAAAAAAAAGGCCACAGTAAAAGGATGGTGTTATTATTCTAACCAAAAAGAAATAGGAAGCAAGCTGTTAAAATGCTAAGTGTGAGTAGAGTCTCCCGCGAGTTTTACAGGGGGCAGCCTGGGAAAAATCACCAAATCTGTATTTACTTTCTTTCTGTACTTCAAACAGAGCTTCTTTAGAACAGATTTGGGTTTGGGTTATAAATTATTAGTGATCATTCATGAAGAAACCTTGACATGTGGTTTCACAAATCCTTATATATCAAAAGATAATAAATTCCAGCCCAAGGGCATGAAACATCTGGGATCAATGAATGAGCATTAAATGAACTAATTTTAACTTTTAAGCTAACTTATAGCAGAAAGAGTAGATATGTGAAAATCACGGTCAAATTCAAGTGGTAAGACTAGCAAAACACATACTGTTAAATTTCAGCTGTTCCGTATTTATTTACTGCCTGCTTAAAAAAAATGTAACTAAAAAAAAAAAAGTAACTAGTATGTTAAGACCGTGACATCCCAGATATTATTTCTTGAGATGAGGTTAAGTTAGGCATTGAAATTAAACAGGATCATTTAAAGAAAAAATAAATAGTAATAGTGCAGGTGGTATAAAGTTACAGTAAAAAAAAACCCATGGGAATAGTATATAAATGAATGAAGTTAGGAAAACTGTATTAATGCATTACTTTTAAACATGTTCTGATGAATTTTTCTAAAGCTAATTCCAAAGTAGCACTAAGAGGAGGGGTACTTTCTGATATCTTAAGCAAATGCTTATGTTTGACTATAACTGTCAACACTTGAGTGAATTGGATGGCTAATATGTATCCCTGAGTTTTAAAAAGACATGGGTGGAAATTAGAATACACTACTAAATATCTTATACTTTAGAGTATCCTGAAGTCTAATAAGATTATATATTTTTAAAAAATAATGCCAAGAGTTTAAGTGTCCATAAATAATGCAGATGAGCGTGCATATACCGGCGTATCTCTGAGCACATTGAAAAAATGAATTTCTGACCTCACAAAGATGAGGATAAACTCCTGCCAGGGGAGCTGTGGGTATTCTGTTCCAGAATGCAGCCCCCCTGAGTGACCTTTAAGCTGCAGGTGCCACCTCTAGCTAGTCCTATTCCACAATCTTTTTCAAAACACAGGACTTTCACAAAGGGAGAAATGAACCAAAATTATTAAAAATAAAATTAAAAAGAAGTGTTTGCTCTGAAACTCATAGAATCTGAAAAGATTCTGAGTACTAATCTTACTGACTTCTAAGAAGCTCATTTTGTGAAATATATGGCAGCTATGTTTTATAGCAAATAGAGATTCACAACTACACTTGACATGTCTTTTTTGAGAGCCCACTCTGTGGTAAGTAAAGCACTGTATTTTAGGGGACTGAAAAAATTATCAAGCAACTAAAATAGACAACTCCTGAGGGTGCTCACAATATGCCAGTGGTATTGTAACCTTTTCAGATATCGATTTTTTTTCTTTTTGTTATGAAAGATCTACTCCCCATGTGGGACTTGAACTCATGACTCCAAGATCAAGAGTTGCATGTTCTATCGATTGAGCCAGAACCCAATGAAGATAGCATATTACTGTTTCTATTTTGGGGAGACTGAGGTTGAATAATTTGCTCAAGAATATGTAGTGACAGAGCTGGCAACATAACCCCATACCAAATCCTTGACCCTGAGAAATGTATACAACTCTTAGCTTCTGTTTCAAAGAAGACTGCCCAGCCAGACAAGCGTATTTTTAAAACTATGATTTGAAAAATTCAAAAACTTGAAGAGCATGGTGCTAAATATTCTTGGCTTGTTTGGGACAGAGACGAAGAACAGCCTGTCTGGCTTTTTTGCAACACATTATGTCAAGCTCATTCGAAACATTCCCTCTGGTTTATTCTTCCAATCACTCACACTCAATCCTACCCCTCGCTCCTTGCCGTCCCCAAGTACACCTGCACTCTGGCTGCAAACCATTGTTCCTCCCAATATTTCATGCTTACCTACTTGCATTCGCTTCCCAGGACACCTGCGATGTCCAACAGAATTACGGGCTTCACAGGAATATTCTCCACTGTCTAGTTTTGAAACAGTGTTAAATTGCTATTTGTGGAAGGAAAATAAATATATTTTTAAAGCAATAAATCTGTAAGTATACTCCTAAAGTAACCATGTCCCTTGAACTTTAGCATTAAATTGGTCTTTCCTTTTTCATGACCTGGGACTTGATATCTTTACTGTGAATTCAAGACTGCCATGCCTTCAAGGGGTAAGTAGCTAGGTTTCCTGTTTATCTTGACAGGGAAAGACTTAAATATATATGGGGAAGTGTCTTTGTTTTGTGATACTGAGGAAGTAGTACGGTTAGAAAGGCACTGGGCATTTTTTGAAGTTTATAGCACACGGTACTATTAAGTTTTGTCGGTATTTCTAATTCCCAGGAAATCCATTTGTAAAGGAAGGTCTCCCTGGCCTGAAAGGGTGAATGCAGTTTTCTTGGCCACAAGTGAGTTCACTGCAGTGGCAAATCATGAACGTTTCTTCTAAAAGGCCAGAGCAACTACCAGGAAGTAGCATAGGGTCTAGGAAAATCTCAACCAGTGTAGTTTATAGGATTACAAATTCTATCAAGTGTGGGATTTTTGAAAATTCTGAAAGGATTAAGGTCTAACCTTTGCTCCTTCTACTTTCGGCCAAAACAACGGAAAGGTATGACCATAGAAAGGAAGAAAAGATAGATGGATAGATCGAGGGATGGCAGGGGAAAAGGGAGGGAGGGAGGAAGCAAAGATGGATAGATGGCATGGAGGAAGGAAGGGGGAGAAAGAGAGGAGGGAAGCAAAGATGGATGGATGGGAAGGAAGGGAGGAAGGAAGGATGGCCAGGAGGAAGGAAGGGGGAGAAGGAAGGAAAGAAGGGAGGGGAGGAGAGGAGGGAAGCAAAGATGGATGGATAGATGAATTGATGGATGGATGACAGGAAGGAAGGGAAGGGAGGGAGGGAGGAAGTTAGTAGACGGGCAGGGAGGGAGGGAACACAGTGGGTCTTGAACACCTTAGAGGATTCTGCCAGGACCAGCACAGAGGGTGAGAGGGGTGCCTGGATCATGCTTTTGATGCCTCCTGTCACACGCTCAGTACTGCTGTGGTCACTGTTGACTGCAGCCATGACAGCCATGAGTCTCTAAGGAGCACCTCCTCATGGTTTTGGATCCTCATGTAACACATGTTCCTAAAAGCAGCCAAGTTTTTGATCTACTAACTCCCTTTCCTGTCTCACTTGACATTACCCACTACCTACATCCCCTTCTTTCTGTATTCAACATGATGGCACAGAAAGCTTTCCCTCATGTATTTCACTTTATGAAATCATCCCTCACTGTCCCAAAAGCCAGACTATAAAAATATTCACCAGGAATGCAAGACCAAGGGTATTAACAATAAGTTGGACAAAAACCATAAATGATCTACTTGCACATAACTGGTAACTAAAAGGAAGCCATCATCATCCATACACTGGAGACTTAGTTGTTTATTTCTCAGGGAAGAACCTATCTCTGTTCTGCCCTGGTACAACCCTTTGACATCATAAGATATTTCAAGGGTTGAGGCTAAGTGCGGAAAGTGAATCTATATCATTCCAAACTTGCCTTGGGGCTTTTATCACCTGCTCTGAGAAAAAATAAATTTGAAAAGTAAATATAGCAAAGTGTGACGGCAGGTTTTCTGCCCAAGATGTCAGTGTAAAATCTACTGGACCTGCTGACTGAGCCTGCTGGTGCTGCAAGGGCGGGAGTGTGCTCCTCCTCAAGGAGTCACATCAGTTAATGTGCTTTATTATTGACCCACTTTATCAATATGCTTGATTATTTACCAGAGGATCTGGTTTTCAATGTTATTGTGTCCTCGTAGAGTGAAGGAATGAACATTTTAAAATGAGTTAAAATTATTATTATTAGTTCTCTATATTGTCTTCAAGCTCTGGTTTTCCATCACTTCCCTGGGTATATACTGCCATCTTTCCCCATTGCCCCTTCATCTCTCCACTTAAGTATCAGCCCTCTATTCTCCATCATTTTAGTTCTAATAATTTTTCTTCTCCAAATATAAGAGAGCTATCAGATCAATGCTTGAAATGACCTTACCAGAGTTCCCGATTTTGTATTCATTGTATAGGAGCTGTTGGTGCTTTGGGAGCCAAGTTTTGGATTCTCTGACAAAGGAACGCCATCCTTAAACCAGGTGTACTCGGGAGCTGGATTCCCTTCTTTGTCTTGACATCGCAACTCTACCACAGTTCCACTCAGAGCAGAATTGGGTACTTCACATGCTGGAACTGCTGGGGCCACTGAAGGATGGAAGTCAAATGGTACTGGTTATTTGTAAGCTATAGGAAGATTTGACTGATCGATTGATTGATTTAAAGATTGTATTTATTTATTCATGAGAGAGGCAGAGACATAGGCAGAGGGAGAAGCAGGCTTCCTGTGGGACCATGATGCAGGATTTGATCCCAGGCCACTGGGATCATGATGTGAGCCGAAGTCAGGCGCTCAACCACTGAGCCACCCAGGTGTCCCTAAAGAAGGATTTTAACAGCCAGGTAAATATGGGCTTATTGGACACCTGTGATAGAAACTGGCTACTTGTTCAAGAGATCCATGTCCTTTCTTCTTGGGCACACAGCCAGACCAGTTGCCAGCCCCCTTGCCAGACCAGATGGGGTCATGAGTTCTGACCAATGGCATGTGGGAAAAATCATATATGCCATTTCCAGGCCTGATCCAAAAACACTAATATAGGTACTACTTTGATAAGATTTTGGAGAGGTAATTTAAGGTCCTCAATCTATTGTCTTTAAAGACAGGGAGATTGCCTAGATGGGTCTGACCTAATCCCATGACCCCTGGAAAAGTTGTTTTCTCTAGTTGGTCACAGAAGGGAAAGTCAGAGATTCAGAGCACAGGAAGGATTCAACATGCATCTATTGGACTGTAGATGGAGAGGGCCACGTGGCAGAGAATGTGGTGCCTCCAGGAGCTGAGTGTAGCTCCCAGCTCCCAGCCAGAATGGAATGGAGACTACAGGTTTAGAGCCACAGGAACTGAAATCTGCCAACAAGAGTGAGCTCGGCAGTGGACTTTTCCCCAGAACCTCCAGACAAGAACTCAGCCTGCTGACTCCCTGATTTCAGCCTTATGATACCCTGGGAAGAGAGCCTTGCCTTGTCAAGCTGGACTTCTGATCTACAGAACTGTGAGCTAATAAACAGGTAGTGGTGTAAGCTGCTTGGTTTGTGATCATTTGTTATGTAGCAAGAGAAGACTAATACACCAGCTGAATCTCCTGCAAAGTTTTCTGAATTTAATTTCTGCTATACTAGTGAGTGACTAGTATTTTAGAAAGACCCTGGGTTATATAGAAAAAGGAAGAGGAGTCATTTTACTTTCTATGGTCAGCAGTTTTTACAGTAACATCTAGGGAGAAGAAAAGATCATGTTCCTCCACCAGTTATCATCATGAACTGTTAGTATCTATCAGGGATTCTCATAGTAACTAAATATATTGGCTTTGGAGTTAATCCCACCAGGACCCAAATCCTGGTCCAGACACTTATTAGCTATGTAGACTTGGAAAAAATCGTTTAGTTTCTATTTTCTCATCTATAGAAATGAAGCTGTCAGTGAAGATTAAGTAAAATTATGTATGTGTAAGAGCCTAACATATACTAGCTGCACAATAAATCCTTATTTCCCTTCTTTACCAAATTCCTTTTCTTTTTTCTTTTCTTTATTCTTTCCTTTTATTTTCTTTCCCTTTCTTTTCTTTTTTACCAAATAATTTCTAATACTTTCCCTGACCTACTTTTTTTGTTTTAAGGCTTTTCCGTCATCTCGTGTGATTGGATTTTATATGTAAGGGATAGACCATGTATACTGAAAGGTACTGAAAAATAAACTGTTAGGGGAAAAACTCCTATGTAGAAGATAGGGCCATTAAGATTTACCTTAATCTGAAATGAAAAGAGATTTTTGTCACAACAAATTTCTAAGAGTAAAATTTTGGCAGCGAATGAGGTGAAAAGGGGCAATAGCCAAGATTTTACAGGAGAAGTGGTGTCGGTGATTTCTAGAACTTTCCTAACCAGGGCCCCAGGTGGCCTAGGTGATGGGGATGAGGGTGGAGAACAGTAATCCTACAGCTACAAGCACATCACACCTAGCACTTCTAGAGTGACTGTATCTTCTTCCAGGTTTTGGCCTTGCTCAGATGGGGCACTAACTTCACAGCGGTATTTCCCAGCATCATTTCTTGTAACATTTTTGATCCGTATACTGAAGTCTATCATCTCGGCTCGATCTTTAAAATCACCTTTTAGAAAAAGAAAACAATAATGTTAATAATAATGCAAATAACTTTCTATATACTACCTTCCTCTAGTCACTTCATTCAGTGACCAAGGCATTTGTTTCCCTATTAATAAACTCAATTTAAAACTCAAAAAGGACTCTTAAGTATAGGAAACAAACTGAGGGTTGCTGGATGGGGGCATGGGGTAACTGGGTGATGGGCATTAAGGAAGGCACGTGATGTGATGAGCACTGGGTACTGTAGCAACTGATGAATTACTGAAAGTCTACGTCTGAAACTAATGACCTATTATATGTTGGCTAATTGAATTTAAATAAAAAAACTCAAAAAGTTATATGCCAATGCTATTTCAAATTTCTTCTTTTTTTTTTTAGAATAACAAACAGTTCACAAAAGAACATTGGGTTCAATATTCTCATATTTTAGAAGATTCAATCCTCATTCTTGCCTCATCCCCTTTCTAATATGCTTATATAAACATTCACACCTTCAGAAGGCACTGCAGCATCTAGTTAATTTAGCTGGAACAGTAACTTTATGTGTGGTGGCCCACATCATACTGCCCCAAAAGAAAAGGTGAATGGGTCTTAAAAACACTCTTTTGATTAGTGTTTGGTAGTAACATGTACAGAATGAAAATAGTGTTTTGTAAAACATTCAGGTGCTAGATTGGCAATGGTAGAAAATTCAAGCAAAGACAGCCCTGTGGCCTGCAGCAGTCCTATCTTGACAGATGAAAACAAGACGGGTATTTTAAATTCTTTATGGACTGTAAACATCTGTTCACATACTTAATTCTTTTAAAATTAAAGTAATGCATAGTATTCTAAAATAATAACATGCTTCCTATACTTGTTATATTTCCAACTTTTAAAATGTTTATAATGGAAAATTTCAAGCACACAAAAAATTACGGAGTATTGTAAAATAAAACTCATCACCCAGCAATAACAGTAACCCATGCATGGTCTATCTTATTCCATCTGTACCTCTAAACACTGAATTATTTTGAGGTAAGTCCCATACATCATAGCATTTTATCCATTATTATCAATACTTTAAAAGCTCAGTATATATTCAACAGGAAAACAGCAAGTGGAAAGAAATGGATAAAAAATAAAGAATTAAAAATAAAGCACTGGTTAAAGATAGTTGTGTTTACCCTTCCCCAACCAGAAGTCTAAGTCTTAACTCTATAGAGCTCTTAGCGATGGCCTACCTTCCTAGATGGTGATATGGAAATAGGGTAACATTATTACCACAGAACATCTCACTTCCACACCATCTCATCTTCCTTTCTCTCAAGAGTCTAATCTACTGGGTCAGCAAGAACCATTGCATTTTACATCCTTTAGGACTGAGCTGAGACACGAAGGGTCTAGGGCCTCCATGGTGTTCAACTTTCTTCTGTTCTCTGTCTCGTTTTCATGGTGATTATGCTTTAGGTCTCAGTCATTGTTGGGTTCATTTCACACTTACAAAACACATTCTCTTTCACCATACATAAAAATAAACTCAAAATGGATTAAAGACCTTAATATGAGATCCAAAACCATAAAAATCCTCAAAGAGAAAACCTGTGCTCTCTGACATTGGCTGTAGCAAACAGTTTCTAGATAGGTCTCTGAGGAAAGGGGGAAAAAAGCAAAAATAAACCATTGTGACTATATCAAAATAAAAAGTTTCTGCACAGTGAATGAAATAGTCAACAAAGTTAAAAGGCAACATATGGAATGGAAGAAGATATTTTCAACTGATGTATCTAATAAAGGGTTAGAATTTAAAATACATAAAGAACTGAAAACCCAAAAAAACAAGTAATCCAATTAAAAATGGGCAGAAGACATGAATAGACATTTCTCCAAAGAAGACATACAGATGGCTAACAGACACATGAAAAGATGTTCAACATCACTCATCATCAGGGAAATGCAAAACAAAACCACAATGAGGTATCACCTCACATCTGTCAGAATGGCTAACAACAAAAACACAAGAAATAACAGGTGTTGGCAAGGATAAAGAGAAAAAGGAACCCTTGTGCACTGTTGGTGGGAAAAAATTAAAAACAGAACTAGCCTATGATCCAGGAATCACACTGGGTATTTACTCAAAAGACACAAAAACACGAATTCAAAGAGATATATGCACCCCTATCTTTATTGCACCATTATTTACAACAGCCAAATTATGGGAGGAGGCCAGTGTCCACTGATAGATGAATGGCTAAAGAAGATGTGGTAGATATATATAAAAATGGAATATGGCTCAGCTATAAAAAGAATGAAATCTTGCTATTTGCAACAACATGGCTAGAACAAGAAGGTAGTATGCTAAGTGAAATAAGTCAGTCAGAGAAAGAAAAATACCATATGGTCTCACTCATATGTGGAATTTAAGAAACAAAACAGTAAGCAAAGGGGAAAGACACACACACAGACACACACACACACACACACACACACACACCACAACAACAACCAGGAAATAGACTCTTAAGTATAGATAGAGAGCAAACTGATGGTTACCAGAGGGGAGGTGTGTAGGGGAATGGGGGAAAATAGGGGACAGGGATTAAGAGTACACTTATCATGATGAAAATAACATAACATAAAATAAAACAAAATAAAATGATTAAAAACCCCACATTCTCAGTAATGTGAGAATTCTCATTCCCTGTTCCCATTGATAAGTTAAAGAACCCAGGCTGTACTTGGTGTTCTCTTGCTCTCACCTCATCAAGTCTAGAGCTTCTTACCTTGAAGAGCCTGTTGGTAGTAGACAAAGGAGACACTCCGGCCCAGTTTCTTCCACTCTAATCTGGAGGAGATGGTCTTCTTTGGGTATTTACAGGCTAAAATAACCTCTGGAAACAACAACAAGAAAAACTTGTTTTCTAATGGTCTCTATGAATTTATATTTTACTTAAGTAAATTTTTAAACAGCCATAAGCTACTCCTTTATACTTCCATCCATCCATAAATCACCTCAATGGGCACCATGTTGGCTTAACCCAAAGATGAACTGAAAGTATTATAGCTCTTCTCCAAAGTAACTGCATGACACTATGCTACTGACCCTAGTTCTTGAGACTCATTATCATCTGTAAAATAAGATAGTATCTTAGAGAGTTGTGAGTCTTGTGAGTCTTCAAATATAGTAATACATGCAAAGCACGCATGTCTGGACACGGTAAGTAATTTAAAAAGGGCAGTTATGATCAATTATTTATCATTTATCCCACTATTCCCAGTCTCAGTCATCAGGGAGTTTATAGCCTGGTGGAAGAGACAAATAAGATAAAGTAATTTTGTTCCATTGTGATAAGGGCCATGAGTGCCATGGAGGTAAACAGAGGCTGCTTCACATCCAGTGCCTAAGAAAAGCACTCAGTCCAGCCCTTGGGATCCACAAACATTCCATCAACATGCGACGTTCCCACTCAGACCCATTCTTTGATGATCCTCTCCATGGGTATGTTGCTACAACCCCAATATAATCTATTAAATCATGGATTTCTACTCTTTATCTCTATCCAGATAAATTATGAGAAGATTTAATCTTGGCATCCAGTTTAACTGCCTCACTGTAGCTCATTTAGGTCACTTTATTACAGGAAATTTACTGCACTTACATCATTAAAGAATTCCTGGAACCTCCGAAGGAACCCCCCTCTATTAACTGTCCAAACAAGATGACTGGGGGGCAGGAGAAAGTCCAGCGCCTATCAGCCAACTGCTCTGAGTTGCCAAAGGAAACCTCCAGTTGTAAATATTTTTAAAAGTACGATTCAGTCAGGCTCTCTAGAGCGTTACCTTCATATCTCTGAGGTTCCCCCCCCCATAATGCATATAGTTTGACCCCAAAAGCACATATCTTTGACTAGAAAGAAATTATGTTCAAATCTTTTCCATACATCTGATTTTGATGTAGCAGATTTGATGTCATTTTAAAAGACAATTCAGGATACTACGTGATATGGTCGATTAGAGAGCAGTACTCATATTACCCCAGCTTTTATTAATATACACATAGATATGGAAAAAGAGCCTGTACAAATATGTATGAAAATATTTAACCCAGTGATGATTTCTGTGTGATAGAATTCTTCTTGTTATATGTAGTCCCTAATTTTCCCCTTAGTTCCACACATATGGCTAGAAATATAGAAATAGAATAAAAGGTAATGGAAAACAGAAAATAGGACCGAGAAAAGAAAGGCGGGGGGGGGACCCCATAAAAGTTATTTTCAAGGATGCCTAAAATTTTTAGAGCAGGTTTTACATTACAAAGAGACATCATTTTACAGACATGTTTACAATTATGCTACAAAGACAAATGTGTGCTAAGGGACTTGTCTGAGGAAACACGGTTCTGTTCTGTTGATTAAGGAGAATGGGTGGTGACTTTCCGGAGTCTTGAGTTTTAGATAGGTTTCCTTCCCGTATTTTGTTGGGTTTCCAACAATTAAACACACACCCACACTCATTTTTAGCCCACACACTTAGGTCTTAGGAATAAATTTGTGCTCGGTCACATTGTTTCATATATTTAACTACATACACAGACACAGACACACACAAACACAGCATTCTTCACCAAGAAGATCTGACTTCTGCCCTCAATGTTCTATGAAAAACCTCTGCAGAAATTATATTTATAAATGAAACTAACGGTTTTCCTAAATGCAGTCACACCACTCCTGCCTCACTTACAACGACCATGAGTGGAGAAATGGGTCTCTCCGAGTCACCCAACTAACTGTGTGTCCAGCATTGTTGCTGAGCTATATCAGTGAGCAAAACAAAGATCCCTGTTCTTTTGGTTCTTACAATTTGCAGGGGGAGTCAGGCACACAAAAATTATCATACAGTGAATTAAATGCTACATTGGGAGGGAATGTGTGCTGTGGAAATAAAGCAGAGTAGATCAGAATAGAGTATGAGTAGATGAGGAGGGTTGGTGTGCAATCACAAAAGAAACTGAGTAGTCAGAGTTCAATTCATTTAGAGACTGACTTTGACCAAAGACTGAGAAAATGAAATTAGAATTCCTTAGAATTTGAATAAAAATTTCCCAGAATTCAATATTGGAATTCACCATGTGTTTTTTTGTTTTTTAAAGATTTTATTTATTTATTCATGAGAGACACAGAGAGAGTGTCAGGGGCACAGGCAGAGGGAGAAGCAGGCTCCATGCAGGGAGACCCATGAGGGACTGGATCCCGGGTCTCCAGCATCATGCCCTGGTCTGAAGGTGGCGCTAAACCGCTGAGCCACCCAGGCTGCCCTCACCATGTGTTTCTTTGGGAGTATTCCACATAAGGCAATAGCCAGTGCCTAGATCCAAAGGCACCAACACCATGACTTCCAGAATGCGAGAAACATTAAGTAAACTGGAATCATGGGATCAACATCTGAGGATAAAGAACTCCAGATGAACTGAGAAGCTAACCACCAATGGACTCTCCTCTCTCTTTTCAGCTAAAATGGAACACTCATGATCAATATAATCTCATATGTAGCCTGGAGAGTTATTATACCATAAAGTAGTAGTTTAAGGCACAACCTTTTGGAATTAGACCTCTGCTATATACACTACGTGTGTGATGTTGGGCAAATTACTTAACCCTTTTTGAACATTATGCTCACATTTGTAAAAGGGAAAAAATAATATCATCTCACGAAGTTGTGAAGATTAAATGAGGTAATATATTTATACGCTGGGTGTGCATGGTACTTTGCACATAGTACGTGCTCCATCAATGATTATTATTGCTCTCACCCTGAGAAATTTCCTTTAGTTGCAGTTGTAAGTATGCCTTGACATGAAAGAAGCCCACACTTTACACAACCCAAATTTACCTAAGAATCACTCAAATTTGAATTAAAACATTACCTTTGAGAGAGCAAAGAATATGACATAGACATAAATTATATATATATATATATTTTTTTTTAAGACTTTATTTATTTATTCACAAGAGACATAAAGAGAGAGGCAGAGACATAGGCAGAGGGAAAAGCAGGCTCCCTGCAGGGAGCCTGATGCGAGACTCAATCCCAATACCCTGGGATCATGGCCTGAGCCAAAGGCAGACAATCACCCACTGAGCCACCCAGGTGTCCCATAAATTATATTTCCTCATTTTTTAAAAAGATTTTATTTATTTATTCCTGAGAGACACATAGAGAGAGGCAGAGACACAGGCAGAGGGAGAAGCAGGCTCCACGCAGGGAGCCCAACGTGGAACTTGATCCCAGGACTCCAGGACCATGTCCCAGGCCAAGGCAGGGGCCAAACCGCTGAGCCACCCAGGGATCCCTAAATTATATAATTATATTTTCTCAAAACGAGGCGCACTAAAACATAAAAGTGCACCAAGTTGTTTTTTTTTTTTTTTACTAAGATGATCATTTCATTGCCAAAAATATGTTTCCTTTGGATCAAGAAAAGACAATTCTTTGTTTAGAAAAAGCATTAGCAAAAATTATTTTCATGTAGCAAAATGATCACTTTTAGAAATCTCATCGCTAGAAATCACTGTGAATTTTAATTTTTCTAGGATTCTGTACTGTTCATTATCTTTTGATTTTATTCTCTGTGCTCAAGTTGAAAATCATCACAATTTTACATAATGCAAAAACAGAACTGATACTACCAAAACAGTTCTGAAGAATTACCAAGAAATTACTTCTGTGAATAAAAGCATGCTATTAAACTGATTGATAGCTTACAGCATTGGACATTGTACATAAAGGCTGCTCATCTAATTTATAAACCTAGCAAAGCTTCTCTCATTTCAGTCTTGTTCTGTTCTTGGCACCACTATGGGAAATGATACAAAACAGCAGTACTCAAAAGAAGGAATTAATTCGTGATTTGTTGACATCAGAGAGACAAGAGGCAAAAAAATGAAATGAATTCGGTGGAACATACCTATACCATATACACAAATCATAAAATATTTCAGACTTTAACTAAAATTAAGTCACTGCATGAAATATGCTACAACTAAAATGTGTTAGAAGATAGAAATTTATTTTTTGCTTTAAGGACAGTCAAGTTGGAATGATTGGGGCACCTATAAAACAGAATCAAAATATAAATTTTTTAAGATTTATTTTTTTAAAAAGAAAGAGAGAGAGCACATGCAGGTGTACACACAGGTAAGTGTGTGTGGGAGGAGGTGGCACAGAGGGAAAGAAGCAGACTCCCTGCTGAGCACAGAGCCCCATGTGGGGCTCAATCTGAGATTATGGATCATGACCTGAGCGGAAACCAAGAGTCAGATGCTCAACTGACTGAGCCACTCAGGTGCCCCTATAATTCTTAATTAAAAGGAGCATAGGGGAAAAAATAGAAAATACTTATTCAGGAATATGACTAACATTTGATTGCAATAAATATAGAAGGTTTTTTTTATATTAAAAATAAAACATGCATTAAAAAGTAACGTAAGGGGCAGCCTGGGTGGCTCAGCGGTTTAGTGCTGCCTTCAGCTCGGGTCGTGATCCTGGAGTCCCAGGATCGAGTCCCACGTTGGGCTCCCTGCATGGAGCCTGCTTCTCCCTCTGCCTGTGTCTCTGCCTCTCTCTCTCTCTGCCTCTATGTTAAAAGTAACATAAATGCTAAAATATTTTGGTTTGGAGTGATGGAAATTTTTGGAACTAGACAGTGGTGATAGGTATACAACACTGTGAATGTACTAAATGCCACTGAATCATTTGCTTGAATGTGCTAGTTTTATGTTATATGTGAATTTCGCCTCAATACATTTTTTAAAAAGTAGTGTAAGACTGTAGAATATAATTTTGCATCCTAATTGAGATGTCATGCTGTAGGGCCTGGGTGCTGATGGGCGGGGTAGGGGGACAGGGTTGTATATTCATGGTATCCAGCTGGGCCCAACAGTGAGAACCTCCAGGAAAGTACAAAATAGGACAACTCACTTCCTTCGTCCCTTACAGAATCCTGGCCCATCTTTTCCTCTCACTGTGTGATCCCTCTTTTGGCCTTTTGCTCATCTCCTTTTCGACATCTTGTCTGGCCCTGTTTACTTTCCCTACAAGTGCTCCATACCTCTACTTTACTCCCAGTCATTAATTTGCTCTTCCCACTTCTCTGGACTTAAAACTAAGTGTTTTATTATTTTAATTATGTAACATATTAGGACTTAATTAACTGAAATAGTGATTTAAGTTATCCGTTATCAAGTGATGTGTTACTTGTGAGTGGCAGGCTGATTCTTAGCATATTTTTATGAAAAAGGACATATAACACTGTGTGCCAGGCACCACTGTAAGTACTAGTTAAATACTAATATACCTAATTTTCCCACCCAGTTCTGGTCTTTAAACTTTGTCTCTTTCCTTTGAACTCATCTCACCCAACTGCAGAAACCTAAGATATGCCTGAAGATGTGAGTTCACACACATTTGTAACTTCTTTCTTAAATGTTTACCGTCTCTGGCCTATACAAGCATCATACCAAGGACATAGTAATTCTTCTGGTGTCCTAGTATTACTGTTCGAAGTAAAAGAGCCTTCAGAATCGTTGTAGGTGGTCAATATTTGAAGTAAACATATAAAAGCCCTTATAAAGTTTTCCTTGGTTATTTTATTAGTCCTAAATTTTTTTAATTTTTTAAAAGATTTTATTTATTTATTACAGAGAGAGAGAGACAGACAGACAGGTAGAGGGAGAAGCAGGCTCCATGCAGGGAGCCTGATGTGGGACTCGATTCTGGGTCTCCAGGATCATGCACTGGCCTGAAGGCTCCTAAACCACTGAGCCACCGGGGCTGCCCAGTCCTTAAACATTTTGTTAAAATTGTGGTTCAATACACATATCTTAAAATTTACCATCTTTCTTTAACATTTACCATTTTAACACTTTTTAACATTTTGCCATCTTAATGATTTTTAATAATTCAGTAGCATTAAGTATATTCGTTGTTAAGCCACCAATGTCCAGAATTTTTCACCTTGCAAAAGTGATACCCATTAAACACCAGTAAAACCGTTCTACTATTATGGCCATTAAACACCAACTCCCTATTATACCCATTAAACACCAATTCCTTATTATAAATATATTTAAGAAGCTAAAATAAAAAAAATAAAAAGAAATAAAGAAGCTAAAATAAATAACAAAAATGGCACCCCAAAATAGGCTATATTAATGTTTTCTTAAGTACATTAAATAGAGTGGGGTTTGCAGCGTTAATTTCCATTTGCCATATCCAGCTGGCTGGAAACTTTGCAAGACCTCCATCTACCAGTTTCACAAATTAGATCTGCTTTGTTGCAGATAATTTACGCAATTAGAGGCCCTCTTTGTACATCAGGTCTTTCGTTGAATGTCCAAAATTTCCACTGAGGAGGTGGAGAAAGAGTTCTCAAGTGGAAACAGCACAGAGCAGCATTTCAGAAGGAAGAATTAGTGCGAGGTAAGGCAGAGGGTTCAACAAATAGATAATATCACATGCGTCATATTTGTGAGTCATTTGAACAACACAGTCCGTGAAAATCATAAGTTACTCTACCTTGATACTCTGTTGCTGTGACCACTTGATGGCCTTTTGGGGCAGAGAATCCATAGGCCTTATGATCTGAAAGATTAAAACAGACAGAATAATTAAAATAGTACCAAAGGCCACTTGCAAATATTTGAATGGAATGCAACATTAAAGAAAACTGGCCTAAAGTTTGGTGACAAATTCACACATTCATAAAGCCTAAGTTTTAAAGTATCAAAATAAGAAAAACCAAGCCAAACCATATATGTCTTTTCCATGTTCTGTATTGTGGTTTCTGCTTTCCTTTCACAAAGCAAAACCCATGAATCTCTCAGGGCCCCATGACAGACAACACAATGTCATAAGCCTGATTATGAAAAGCTCGCTTGCTCTTTCTTTCTTTCTCTTTCTTTCTTTCTTTCTTCTTCTTTCTTTCTTTCTTTCTTTCTTTCTTTCTTCTTCCTTCCTTCCTTCTTTCTTTCTTTCTTTCTTTCTTTCTTTCTTTCTTTCTTTCTTTCTTTCAGATTTATTTATTTATCTTAGAGATAGACAGCATCAGCAGAGGAGAAACAGAGAAGCAGACTCCCCACAGAGCACAGAGCCTGACTGGATACCAGGACCCCCAACTCCCTCCACCGCCGCAGATCATGACCTAAGCCAAAACCAAGAGTCCTATGCTCAACCTCAACTGCTCAGCCTCAACCAACTGAGCCACCTGGGCACCCCAAGCCTGCTTGCTAAATAAGTGATTTTATCCTTAATTTAGCCTAATATGGAATCTAGCACCTAAGGTACTGCTCCTTTAAGATAAAAGCTCTTTATTTTACAGTTAAATTGCTTTACCAACTTACCCCTGATTATACCTACATCATATAGAAATGGGTTATTTAAACATATTTGTGACTAGGAAATGTATATATAATACCTACTCTATATAAGCTTTGCATATACAAATATGATGAAAAATGCAAGCAGAGCATCTTTATTTTTCTCCCGAATATTTTTTTTTCTCCCAAATATTTCAATGATTTTCCAGGATTGGTATCTAGGGTTGAAATGACTGACCAGTTATGGTGGCTGATGTTATCTGATACTAATACGATGACGAAAATGATGAGATAATCACCTTCATAAATTTATATAGAATATTTCATTTCATTTTTTAAAGATTTATTTATTTATTTGAGAGAGAGAGAGAGAGAGAGAGTGGGGAGGGGCAGAGTGAGAGAGAGGGTCTTAAGCAGGCTCCATGATGGATAATGAGGCCAGGCCGATGGAACAATCCTGAGATCATGACCTGGGCCAAAACCAAAAGTCAGATGCTTGACTGACTGAGCCACCCAGGTGCCCCAACAATAGTTAACATTTATTAAGCACTTAGGCAACATTCCCAGTTTTTTGCAAGTATTAACTTATTGAACTCTCACGACAATTCTTTGTGGTAGGGTACCATTTTTATCCATCTGTTTTGCAAGTGGGGAAACTGAGACACAGAGAGGGTAAGAAACCTTGGTCAAGGTTATACAAGCAGTAAGGAATAGGGCTGGGAGTTGAACTCATCCAGTCTGTTCCTAAAACCCACGTAGTTTATTACTAAACTACTATCCTGGGCCGCACATCGTGTTTCCCCCAAGCTGAACTATGAGGAAGCACTGCAGATTCACAAAGATGTCAGGTAGAAAGGTCTACTCATCTAATGAAGATGGACTAAGGTGAGAAATTGGGGGTTATAATGAAGATTCTGAAGCACAGCAGGAAGGCAGAAGCTAGGAGGCTGTGACTGGAGAAGTGGTTCATCCTGGTAATCTCAATGGGGAGGGTTTCTCAATCATGACACTGTTAACATTTGGAACCAGATAATTCTTTGTTGTGGGAGGGCTGTCCTGTGCATTGTAGGATGTGGTGCAGTATCCCTGGCTTCTGCCCACTAGGTGCCAGTAGCACCTTCATCTCCCCTATGGCAAACCCAAGTCATGACAACCAGTGTTTCCAGACCTTGCCAAATGCCCTTGGGGGTGGGGATGGGGAAATCATATTTGATTGAAAATCTCTGCTTTAGACTAAACAGCTAGGCTGGTTTGAAGAACCAGGAAGAGAAATAAACAAATAGACTAAAGGAGGACAAAAAAACCTTGAGTTCAAGGATTTCAAAAAAAGCTCCCAGGAGACCAGAATTTCTTGGGTATGAAATCATTGATTACATTTCTGGGAAGGGGAGAAAAATGTTTCATATAACATGCCATCTTTGATTTATTCATCTATATGTACACTGACATGTAAATTGTGATGCTGTGCTAGACTTCCTCATTCCTAAGGAATACATGCTATTTTGGATAATTTTTTTCTTTCTCTTTCCCTTAGAAGCCTGGATAACAAATGTAATTGTGAAATTAAAACTCTTAAAAACCTACAGGCCTCAAATGTGCAGTTCTCCTGTTTAACATTGTTCAACTATTCAGGTTCTCTATCCCTAAATTGCAATCTTCATGAGGCAAATTGGCAAAGCTGGTGTCTATCTATGTGAAGAATGGAGAACTGAGTGGATTGTTTTCATTGACAGTTGTAAGCATATTTATATAAAGCAGTGGCCTGAGGGACGCCTGGGTGGCTCAGCGGTTGAGCGTCTGCCTTCGGCTCAGAGCATGATCCTGGGGTCCCGGGATCGAGTCCTACATCGGGCTCCCTGCAGGGAGCCTGCTTCTCCCTCTGCCTATGTCCCTGCCTCTCTCATGAATAAATAAATAGCATCTTTAAAAAGAAAAAAAAAAAGCAGTGGCCTGCATGACCTAGTCTTAGAGAGATATCAGGTCACCAAAAAGTGATTTCAATACATCACTTTTGCTTGTATATTAAAAAAAAAAAATCATGAAGGGGTCCAAGCAATCTTTTTAAGTATCCCTCTTTCTACCACATACCAGAATATGTCCCACAGTCCTCTGAACTCCACCCTCACCCCTATAGATCTTTCTTTTCCACTTTCTCTTCTCCTTCCCCATTTTTACTTTATTTTAGCCCAAAGGTAGGGTTCAGATCTTCAGAAAACAGAAAAGCCAGGACCTCATTTGTTCACTCTGAGTCCTACCAACATTTAAGTGACACGATCGCTGAACATTTTTCCAAGGATTCTGATTCCAAATCATTATTCTGTGAAACTTTCAAAACACACTTTGAAGTCTCTTTTCTCCTTTAGCCATGCATAAATTAGTGCCCTCAGAGCAGTTCTGTTTCTGACAGGCGTTTCTTGTGATTTTTGAACTATTTTAGTACATTTTTTAAACAAAACAGTGAAGACTCATATTCCCTAGAAACCAGTTGAGGGGAAAAGTAGAAGAAGATAATCTTTGTTCCCTCACATCATCATATCTTTGAACTTTTCAAACACTACACTGCCTACTGAGAATGTTTATTTTCTTCAGCATGCTCGTGTTTTCTTTCATTTGAGGCAAACGTTAGTCCAACCCAAGACTGGAAGATTTAGGACTGGGTCCAATTATTTTCTCCTTTACTCAATTCTAGTTTTCTACTTGCTAAAATGTCCTTTGAGAAAGATTTCTTAAATTTTCAAAAATCGCCTTAAGAGTTCTATGGAAAAGAATAGCTGTTAACTCAGGAATTTTATTAATATCTTCAGAATTTTTATATGTATATATTTGAATAGAAAAAAAATTGTTCCAAACACTAAAAAAGAGAGGACTGATTGAATTGGCAAAACTATGAATGCAAAACGATTATAAAGGAGATTGGTTTTGGTAAACTAATAAATAGATACTATTTCTTGGTACCTGAATATTTAATTCTGTGATTTTAAGTGTTGTTTTCTAGTTATGTTGCTTCCTCCGGTTCTTTTTACTTCAAGATCTGCTTTTTAATTAAGTAAAAATACTTAAGATGTGTGGTCACCTATAATGAACTTATTTAAACAGAATGTTTCGAATCTTAAAAATAAAACAGTAAAAGATTTCTACCTTGTTTTAAGCCTTACTGGTCTTGGAATTCAGTTTTTTTCTTTTTTTTTTTTTAAGCTTGAACCCAATAACTTTACAAAAACAAAATGTTGGAATTTGTACCAACATTTCACTAACAGATGTTAGGAAGAGTCTCTGTTGGCCGCTTTCTTGAAGTGATTTTTTTTTTCACCTTTCCAGAGTGAGTTTAAAAAGAAAACAAACAAAAAATTGTCATGTAGTTCTGCTGGTTGAGGTCAACAATTGTTTTAAAGTTAGCTACAAAACATCTTTAATAGTTTTGGATGTGTTCCAAAATCACTGGCAGAAGTTCATAAAATGAGGTTAAGAAATGATTATTTCCATAACGGCTAACAGCTCCAAGTCAAGTAATCCCTAACCAAATGAAACCTTTTGTGCTTCTTCCCCCAACTCTAAGAATAAAATTTCTTACATTGTCTATCAATCATCTAAAATATTCTTGTGTGACCAAGGATAATGTAGTATGACTAAGAATAAGTATTTGTATTTAAACACACTGTTTAAATTTACTAAACAAGTGTTATTTAAAGTAACACTTTTAATTGGAAACATGATTAGGAAAAATTGATGTGTTAAAGAGGTTTTTTGTTCTAAGAGTACATTACAGAGAGTACCATGGTAAAAGCAAATTATAAAAACTGTGGATATGAGTTATTTCACAAGTTTTCAAAAATGAAAATTAATAGCCATGTGCTTTTGACAATCACTAATATACAATTATTGTACTAACAAATATAGAAAAGATGCACAGGGCTAGTAGTAACAGATAAAATAATACAATCCAGTATTTATCATGGATAAACATTCATAGGGTAGAAAGTAACCCAATGAAGTAGGAATTAGTTAGGTTAAGATACTCATCTATCTCGCTATTATTTGACTGTAGTAGGTCTAGGGAGTAAGGAGAGGAGAGGGTAGGAAGTGGGAGAGGGAGGGAGGGGAAGAGAGAGACACACAGACACACAAGTCCTTCTGATCTCTCAAAATGGACATTTTGGCCCCTGCTTTTTTTTTTTTAAGATTTATTTCTTTATTTGAAAGAGAGCGAGCATGGGAGCAGGGAGTGAGGCTAAATCCCACAAACCTGGGATCATGACCAAGCCCAAA